TATCGCTGGCCACCAGTGAGAACAGCCTGTCCCCTTCCTCCCTGCATTCTCCCTTCCTGAACTTATACATATTAATCATATCCCCTCTGAGCCGTAATACATATACATATATATACTGTAGACAGGTTCAGACCTACATGAAAAAAAAAAAAAAAAAAAAAAAGAAAGATTGTTGCATAAAAGAGACCAAAGATAGGATAAACTTAGGCCGTGACATAACAATAACAAATGGTTCTCTTTTTCGGATACTTTCTATTCTGCATAGGGAGAGATACTGCATACCAGATCTTTCTTGCCACAGTGTGGCTGATCTTTCTTTGTCAGCAGTTTGGAAAGGCTAAAGAAAAGATGGGCATGATCTACTTATTATTGGCAAGAAATACTTGTTTACCAGGAAGAAACAGATTAATTTTGCTAGAGGATGTTGTAAATCAAGCTGCAGGTGTGTATGTAGGAGTAGCTTGTTTCTCCTGCTTGTGTAAGCTGTGGGAGGGAGAAGTGATCAACAAATCATTCTCACTCTAGTCTATGGTCTTTTTACAGTCAGAAAACTATCCAGATGTAGCTAAAATGCATCCCATGTACCTCCTGGTTCTTATGCTGGAATTGCAAGCCAAACTGTGGTTAAAGGCAGAATGAAACATTCCTTCACTAGCAGGCATTCAACCACAATAATTTTGTCCCAGAGGGCAGTCTGGCAAGTGCTATTAATGAAGAACCAGAATATAGCATGGCAAAGAAGAGAGCTTCCTGGCACAACTTACAAATTGTAGTTACTGTTACGTAGCTGTAATTACAGTGGTCCAGATATGTTGTGGGACAATCTTGTTCCTTAAGAATGCTAAATTTAAAATCTTTTGATCCAAACATTTGGCGAAGATCTTCCATCAAATCCAGTGCTTTGTCTCCACGTCATCTGCTCAAGTTAGTGGTCAGCAGCACTCTGGGTGTGGAGTCCTCTGCCACCCAGATTGGTCCTGGCACCAGGATCCCTGGAAACACTGCATCCCTGTGTCTCCTGCAATGCCAAAGAAAACTGGAGGGGCAAAAAGAACCAAAGGGACTGGGACAGACCCACTGAGGGATGTTTAAGCATTAGGAGCTACTGACAGTTGCGAAAGCCAAGAAGTCCTCTTTGTGATGTATGTTTTTGTATGTTTCTGGGTACCTCTTTTCTGATGAGAAGGAACCTGTACTTCTCCTTGTTTTTGTGCATTGAAATCTTCCTATCTCAATATTATTCTGCTCAGAATAAGCAGTTTACATGTGATGCAGTCACCACTGAGCAGCTGCCAAAGCACTTCACACCTCCTTGAACTTCTGGATCAAGTCTATCATCAGTATCACTAATTTTGCATTGCAGCTATCCCAGCTGTCATTCTCTCTAAGCTATACATCCCTGTCCTGAAACATGAACACCTCTGTTGAGGGTTAGCAAAGGGGGAAAAAAAGGTCAGAAAATTCACTGTTTCCTCTCTGACTGCAACCTGAGAGATCCTTTCTGTGACTGCTACGAAATTGCAACTTCTTGCAATTAAACTGATATCCAAATCATGGAAGAAAGTATGGGCAAAATGTGTGGTTCCATAAATATTCCCCATTGTATAAAAGACACACCAAGCCTCTCCCTGTCTCAGAAAGTCTTGGAGGCCTAACTCCATAAAGCTCTGTGTGCTCCCACCTCCGACTGCCGTCATCAAGCCCACGGGGTGCTGCACACTTCAGCAGATTTAAGGAATAGGTTTAGAAAGGAACAGTGTTCTGAGTTTTGTTTGTTTCTGATTTGTGTGTTTGTTTGTTTTCAGATATAGTCCTTTCCATAGTGCAGAATAAGGAACTTCCTCTAGTTATTGCTGAATTGTAATTTCTATATTATGCATATATAAGTTTCTTAGACATTTGTGTCAACGATTTCAGGTGTCAGATAATTGGTCGTATCTTTCAGTGAACTGTTGCAACATTATACTGATAAAAATGCATGCCTGTGTGACTTTTTATGCTGAATTTGTCAAGGATTAGCTTCTCTATTAGATCTTACACCTTTATATTTCTGATCTGTTAAATCAGTACCATCAGAAATCTCTTGTTCCATGGCACCTTTTTTAGCAGATCTTAAAACAGCAACACACCAAAGAAAAAGGATTRTCTGAACGTCTGTGGCAGAGATACCTTTATCTCTGAGTCTGAGTCATTCTCCTRCCTTCTTCAGCAGTCTGGAAGCTATTCAGCCAAAGTGATTCTTAAGCAGCAGAGAGTGATATGTCTCCCAAGAGGGTGGTGTCTTCTGTGACTTTCACCACAAGACAGGGATCTAAAACAGATGGGAAAATTAACCCTCTGGACAAATTCCTCTCTCCTCCTCATCTGTAGA